AGAAGCGAAGTCGAGAGTTAAGAGTCGGGGCTTTGACGGGTTTCATGGTGGTGAGGACACCGGAAGTCTTTAAAAGTCAAATCCAGCTTTGATGATCTTACCTCCTGGTGGAGGGTCCGAAACACATTGTGATGGAGAAGTTACATGGAAAGGCACGGTCATGCGGCGCACAAAGGGTATATAGCGGCTCGTGAGGTTCGGCAGTGCGTCGAGATTGGCGCTGGCCATGTGCTCTCGACTCTGACTTGCTGAAGCCCCCAGGCACGAGTCTGCGAAGCGGTCGCACTTGCATGATGGCGACCTCAATGGAATTGCAGTAGCGCCCAAAATGGCCCGTGGCTATTAATGTCGTCTGCAGAGGAGGCGGGAGGACCAAGGGCTTCCCGAGATGTGGTTGGACGGATCGACGTGATGGCAGGGGCCGTAAGCGCCGAGTAGGGCTGCCGGGGTCGTGATTGGGCTGCTTCGTCACATCCGACCCCGCGCCGTGCCACACACGAACTGACTCTGCCAACTCAATTCGTTGATGCAGGGCAAATGCATGCCGGCGAGGCCCCAATCCGCTGGCCACTCATGGCCGAATAGTCCCAGGAGACATGGTCCAAGACGTGAGAAGAATGTGAAAAGACGAGCGTCCCCGGGTCAGCTGTGCTGTCGTCTCGCTTTCTCGTCCTGTCTTTTGGCTTCGCAGCAGTCGCCGCCGCGGGCATCCCCTGCGTCGGCCCATCACCCGTCTCTCTGACCGCATACGCACTGCTGCAATAGGCCACGACATATGGCACAGACCATGCCCTCTGCGGAATCGCTTTCACAGGCATCCTCGAATGGGATCTCTGCGCAGTGTGACTTCACATTGCGGTCAGCATTAAAGCGTGATGATCGCAACTTTGCGGCCGTGATGGCATGCGTGATAGGATCGTCGTCTTCGTTCCTCTAGGCTGATGGGACGTTGACTTGGAGTTCGCCCGTTGAGCTGCGCTGTTGCGAACCGAAAAACCTTGGAAAAACGTCCGCGTCGCTTGCAGCGGGAATAATGTCTCTTTGCGAGTCATCAAAGCGAAAACAAACTTTGTCCGAGCGATGCTTGACCCGAGTCCCGATTGAGCGTTCTCGACACCCTCCAGCTGGATGGCCAGAGGAAATCGAAACAATTCGGGCGAATCAGCGGCGTCGACCGCGAACGCTAGTCTCGGCGGGTGGTATCTCTCTCGGGGGACAGCCGATGGACGTTTGATAGATATCCGGAGATGGATAAGTTCGTGAAGGCTGGTGTTGGTGGAAGCTTCTTTGATTCAATGATGACGTTTGTCGAAGCAAGACTGGCTGGCTGGATAGCCGGGTCGCCCGGTGGTCTGGCCGCTTGGGCACAGTTATCAATGTCTCAGAGGCGGTGGCAGTGGTGATGAAGCCGGTGGTGGAGCAGTGGTTATCCGGAGAGGGAGCGGACATCTCGCTTGGTCTGTGCTTAAGCGAGACACGTGCACGTGACACCGTATGGGCCGGGGATCTGCCGGGTCCCGGCGTGTTGATGGTCGCGCGGCGAGACGCGTCTGTAGTTTGATAGCCGGCACGCTTCCCTTACGACCAACTCATTTGCTTGACGTCTCCTATGACCGCCCTACACGATGAACTCGTCGAGTTCGGCCCCGGGCCCGGCTGAATCCATCCTGGCCACGCTCAACACTGCACAATGCCGAGCTGTCACGTCCAAGGCCGCGACGGTAGCCATCCTGGCAGGGCCAGGCAGTGGCAAGACGCACACGCTGACCTCACGTGTCGTATGGCTCGTTGACAATGTCGGATACGCGCCATCAGAGATCATTGTGGCCACATTTACAGTCAAGGCCGCCCGGGAGATGAAGGAACGCATTGGCAGGGCACTGGGAGGTGACCGCGAGAAGCGAATCGTTCTGGGCACATTTCACAGCATTGCTCGTCGGTACTTGGCTGCATATGGCAAGCGAATCGGGCTCGATGAAAAGTTTGGCATCGCAGACGACTCAGACTCGAGGGCCATCATCCAGAGGATATGCAAACGCTTCCAGCTCGGAGTGGACCCCCCAGCGGCGAGGTCCTGGATCAGCAAGAAAAAGGCCAAGGGTGACGTCCAAAGCCCTCCCAAAGGAAAGGCCTCTAAGCCGGAAAGCCCCGATTTGGAGACCTGCTACCGAGAGTATCAGAATCATTTGGAGCGGTCGAATCTCTTGGACTACGACGATCTCTTGACCAAGTGCGTGGAGCTGTTGCGCAAGCATCCTTCCTGCGTCGCCAACGTGCAGGCTGTGCTCATTGACGAGTACCAAGACACCAATGGCATCCAGTACGAGCTCATGAAACTGTTTGCGCAGGCCCGTGAGAGAATCACCATCGTGGGCGACCCGGATCAGAGCATCTACGGCTGGCGATCAGCCGAGATCAAGAACCTCTACCGCCTTCTGAGGGACTACCCAAAGACAGATGAAATCTCCCTGGAAGAGAACTACCGATCATCGCAGGCCATTCTGGATGTATCCCTCAAGATCATCCAACAGGACAAGCGGCGATACCAGAAAGTGCTACTGCCAATCCACAACAAAGGGACGCGGCCGGTTTTGCGCCGACTGAAATCTTCCGCCGTCGAGGCCGAATGGATGGTGTCAGAGATTAAGCGAATGCTCTTGATGGCAGGCAAGATGTTGAACTACGACGACGTGGCGATTCTGCTGCGATCCGCCTCGCTCTCCAGACATATCGAATCGGCTCTGGGCAAAGCAGGCCTGGCTTACCGCATGGTAGGTGGATTCAAGTTCTACGACCGCGCAGAAGTCAAGGTGATTCTTGATTACCTGCGCGTCATTTACCAACCGGACAACAACGACGCGGTCGCGCGCATCATCAACGTGCCCCGACGCGGTGTCGGAGACACTACCATCAAGTCGCTTCTCGAAGAGGCAGAGAGCGCCAAGCTGAGTGTCTGGTCTCTGCTGAACAAGCACTGCCGAGGAGACCGGACTGCCAAGACCAACATCAAGAAGGCCATGGAGCAGAAAATCAGCGGCGAACTCATTCGGATAATCTCGGGCATTAGGAGGAAAATCGAGGAGCCGCCGACAGGAAGCCCCTACTACCATCTCGTGGACATGATCGAGAGCCTCCTGAACCAGCTCAACTTCCAAAAGTACCTCCAGGAGAACTACCCAGAAGACCACGAGGCACGGTGGGCCAACGTTCAAGAGTTCATCAGCTTAGCTGGCGACTTTATGCGGGACCTGAGTGCCACGGCGGATGAGGATCGCCTCCCAGAGGTCGATGGGGTTCAGCAGGTCCAGGAGAACGACGCTCTCGGCCGGTTTCTGGCAAACGTCTCCCTGGCATCAGACGCGCAAAAGGGTGATACCGAAGGTAAGCCTCTGGTGACCATTTCAACGATTCACGCAGCCAAGGGACTCGAGTGGCCGGTCGTCTTCGTCCCGGCGGTGTACAACGGGTCCATCCCGCATGCGCGGTCTGAAGACATGGACGAGGAACGCCGGCTGCTGTACGTGGCCATGACGCGAGCCAAGTCTCTGCTCTACCTCAGCTGTCCCATGTACAGTTCGTCAAACGGAGGCAACGGGGGCGAGCGCACCGAGCTGTCCAAGTTCATCCCTTCAGAGATCCATCCGTACTTTAGGAAGCGCGGTCCGTCGTTCGAACCTGGGGTGCTGCAAGAGGTTGGCCGGATTCTCGGACGAGAGGCCGAGGTCCCCTCGCAGAACAAGGTCTTTGGCGAGATGCCGCTGATGGAACGACCGGAAGATAACCTGTACCCCGAGAACCCAGAGGATGCGTTTGGAGATGGGGACAATGGCAGGAATCGTCAATGGCAGCGGCGCTCAAGGCCGCAGATGGCCTCGGCTTCAGAAGAAGACCCGCAGGTGGCTCCATCATGGCATACCTCTGGAACGGCCACGACAATGGATGCGGCATCAAGCTTTACCATGTCGTCTCTCCCCGGCTTTACAACCGCAACCGCGGCTCAATCAGCGATACAGGCTGCCGCGAAAGAAATGGCAGCGTCAGTCCAAGGCCCAGACCGTCGCCTGGCACCGCAAAAGTCGGCAGGCCCCAGGAGAGGGACAACTAAGCGCCCGGCCGATCAGCAGAGCCTCCTGGGATTCGTCAAGAGATCGAGGTCCGACATGTCAGACACTAGTAGCATGCCCGCTCCTCCCCCGCGACAGCCGCTCCAGGAGATGCCCGAGCTGCCAAATCTGCACCGAGGGCAGGCCCCCACGCCAGCTATCGAGCCTGGTCTTGCTGGTCACAAATTAGGCGCCAGAATGCCTTCCAAGCCGTCGAAACCAACATTTGACGGCGATGCAGGGCCAAAGAAACATTACGCAAACTTCTCGAGCTCGCCGCCGAGACCAGAGAAGGAAAACGAAGACAAAGATGTGCCGCCGGCCATACGGGAGCGCCCGGCGAGCTGTTTGCATGCTACGACAACGACGAACGGATTTGGGGGTTTTAAAAGACCCGCGGCGTTGAAGAAGGAAGGGGGGATTGCACCCATAGACCGGCTGCGAAAGCCGTTCAAGCCGCTTACGATTAAGAAATGAGGGGCGTTCCCGTTGCATTGGATTGGCGTTGCTGTACGGGTAGATTATGGCTTACGGGCAGTTGTAGAACATGTTGCACCAGGCGCAAAATATGAATCACCTATTGAACCAAGAATGTCATCTTCACAGCGGACTTGATTGGCGAACGAATGAATGTATCTGACCCGATGCGCTCCGAGGGGTTGAGTTCCGGGCTCAGCCGGTCTCAGTGGCGCCTTCACGCCTTACCATGCCGTTTAAGGATGACGCCTGACGCATCCTTCGTAAATATCGTAGCAGACGCTCGGGTCGTAAATAGCGACGAGAAAGATAAATACGACGGAGTCGGGGCGATGTCAAGAGATCAAAATGCATCAAACTTGATATTTATACTCTTTGGACAAGACCATTAATTACTGTTTAAAAAAAGAAGACGCCAAAATGTCTCCAATGGCCGCGCGCATCACCAATGCAGCCCTCCGCACTCCACTCCGGGCGCCGTACTCCGCGTTCTCCACCACCGCCCGATCCCGAGCCGGGGCAGGGAAGAGCACCAACGGCAGCAAGCCAGACGACGTCGAGATTCCGGCGTTTAACCTCCGACACATCACATCGAGCCCCAGGGCGAGGTTCTGGTTAATCTCGGGCTTCTGTGTGCTTGCGTCGATTGAGGCTTACGGGTGGTACAACTTTGGGCCGAAGATCTTGGGATGGGAGAGGGGTGAGGAGGAGGTTGAGGGTAAATAGGGGGATCATGTCAAGCCGTCTCATTTGGATGCGGTGCAGATGTAGCGTTGTTGTTTCGAGACTTTGTAACTTCACTCTTTTGCGTTCTCGCGGCTGGCTTACTCACCGGTCTAATCACTACTCTTCAATACGTTCTTAGTCTTGGCATCTCTGTAATGCATTCATGATGCCTGGTACAAGGCTTTGCCACTAAGTCCAGCCAGGTCTCTCTGAGAGTCGGTCCCTCCGCTCATTTGCCCGTCCATGTATTGGCATCGGAATGAGTAGAAAAGGTGTCGGACGTAGAACTTAACATAGAAGGCATTATAACTAGAGACCTTGAAGGGCACTCATACACTTGGCGAGATGGGAAACTCAAATCACGAAATGATAGCCTTGACCACGGGATCATGGGCCACTTTCTTTAGTTGATGACACGTTGGAAGAAGATTTACTACAAGATATAAAATAAACCTCACAGTGATTGTTGGTTTGATCGCATCATCCACAAACCTCTCCAACTTCAACCCCACCTCATTTTACGCTATCAAACACATCATGGACTCCGTACCGGAAAAGCAGTCACTGCTTGATGAATCTACAGCAGATTTTGACAACATCTACGACGCCGAGAAGAATGTTGTAAAAGTAGGCCGCGACCTACCGGCTTTCCAACGATTTCTCTCAAAACACAAGACTTTCATCATACGGCATATTCGTCTATGGCAGACTCGACTACATTTGCCGCACCTTTTCGACGAGGACATGTGCGACGAGTGCTTTTATCCCATCATCCTTTCGATTATCTCAGGCTCCTTCTTGGTCACTATGTCCGCACTCTTGCTTTTGGTGGTTTTTTTATTTCTCCACCAAGTTCCGGATGATCGTTTCTTGACGGCTGTTGTCATCAGTTGTATTCCAGCGTTCTTTTCTTTGGAGTGCTGGTTTTATCTGGCCTTTGGACCAAGTCAATCTCAACCGCGAACGAGGGCAGAGACCGCAGATTGGTCACTGGACTTTACCTGGTTGGATGAACAAGCTTTTCACCGTACACTTGGGTGATTTGGGGTTTTGGACCAACAACCCCTCAAACGGACATCACCTATCCGGACGGTGGTTACAATTGACAGAGGAAGAACGTAAATGACGGAGTTGTTCACAAATTATGCTGCAGAGCCCTCTCGTGTGTAAATTGATGGAAAGCAACGGCCAGTTTAGTAGTTCACCAGTTTAGTGGTTTAGAGACAGATTACATTTCACGGATATTCTGTTTGCTAAATGACCAACCTTTTGAACTCCCAGATGAGAGTGTCGAAAGACCTGGCTCCGTCTCTGAGAGTGACTCAAGTTGGGGTTTTGATCACGAACATGTTGTCACCGGCGTTATCTTGATACTGCCATTGAAACTGCGACGGCTTATGCCTTAACCTTTGTGGATTCCTGATGATGCCACCCGTCGTGTGAAATGATGCCAACATTCAGTATCAATGTTCATCGCAAAGGTGGCAGAACAACAATAGACAGCAATGGGAGGCTCAGAGGGGCACTTATAAGAACCTTGGTTGTGAGGCTCAGTACAGAACTCGAAAGATACCCACCATCGAGAAATTGAAGATAATGGATCGACCCTCTCATACAACGGCACGAAGGAAAACAGATTCAAATCAAATACGTTCAAAACCCGGCTGCATTACCCAAGTTCAACTTCAACTCCTACACCTCATGTTGCCAATGAGGCAGAAGCAAAGACAAACACGCCTTCCGCATTCGGCAGGTGCTTCATCCCCCACGTGACTTGTTTCGTGACGACATTGACATCCGGGCCGAGTGGCTGGGGCCCAGCCCGCCAATGGAACGTTGAGCTGGAGGTCTCCACTCTTGCTGCACGCCTGTGGCAGGTGCGTGTGGGCGTCGGTGCGGATGACGCAGGGCGGCACGCGGGCGGTACCTGGGTGTCGCAAGTGCCTGGGCTGACTACCAGACCACCGCTAACGTGCCGGAGCTCCCACGAAGCTTGTTGGCGTCGTACACCTCACTTCCGACACATCACCATCGCCGTCGCCATACCTCTGGCCTCTTCATCGTCGTCTTTCTTTGGGTCTCGCCATATTTCCTCATTTCACATCTCCCGTTTATTCCACCAAATAGTCGCCGATAACAGCCCAATACAGCCGCTGCGCGGCAACACTTGCGATGACCCTGTGGAAGCTCCTCGGAGCCGGCGGACTATTGATCGCCGGCCTGAACGGCGCGGCAGCAGAGCCATATACACCGAAACACGAAGCCGGACGATGTGCGATTCGAGGCCACTGCGGCTCCAAGAGCTTCTTTGGCAAGCAGCTGCCCTGTGTCGATAACGGGCCTGCCGAGGACCCGGACGAGAAGTTGCGACAGCAGATCGTCGACCTCTGCGGAGAGAAATGGAAATCGGGACCTGTCTGCTGCGATGCTGACCAGGTGAGTACACTCAATGAGCCGTTCGAAGCATTGTCTAACCCGCGCAGGTGAAAGCGCTCGCGTCCGAGCTCGGCACCCCGAACCAGATCGTGTCCTCCTGCCCGGCCTGCAAGGACAACTTCTTCAACCTGTTCTGCACCTTTACGTGCTCTCCAGACCAGTCGCTCTTCCTCAATGTCACAAAGACGATGGAAAAGAACAAAAAGGAGATGGTCACCGAGCTGGACCAGCTGATCTCCGAGGAATACGGAACGGGCTTCTACGACAGCTGCAAGGAGGTCAAGTTCGGGCCGTCCAACTCCAAGGCCATGGACTTTATCGGAGGCGGCGCCAAGAACTACTCGCAGCTGCTCAAGTTTTTGGGAGACGAGAAAATCATTGGATCGCCGTTCCAGATCAACTTCCCGACCTCATACACCGAGCCCGAGATGTCGCCCAGGGAGATGACGCCCAAGAAGTGCAACGACGAGGACCCCAACTACCGCTGTGCATGCGTCGACTGCCCGTCCGTGTGCCCGGAGCTCCCCGCCGTCAAGAGGCCTGGCGAGTGCCACGTCGGCCTTCTGCCCTGCCTCTCGTTCGCCGCCATCTTCACCTACAGCATCCTGCTCTTCTCCGCGATTGCCGCCGTCGTTGGACACGTCTACTGGAGACGCCGTGCCAGGAGAGAGAGTGAGCGCCTGAGACTTCTGCAGGATGCCTCTCCCAGCGACGACGAAGACGAGGGCGACTTGGTCCAAAACGGTGCCATGTTTGACCGTCCCCAGCGCTACTACAAGATCAACACGTGGTGCGACGCGGCCTTCAGCAAGCTCGGACATGCGGCGGCAAGATACCCCGGCATCACTATCGGTGTGTCGTTGATCTTCGTCATCATTTTCAGTGCCGGCTGGGTCCGATTTGACCTTGAAAAGGACCCCGCACGTCTCTGGGTCAGCCCGACCTCCCCTGCCGCGCAGGAGAAGGCGTTCTTTGATGAAAAGTTTGGTCCCTTCTACCGCGCCGAGAAGGTGTTCCTGGTCAATGACCGGGACGGCCCGGCTCCCGTCCTCAGCTACGACACGCTGATCTGGTGGATGGACGTCGAGAAGAGCGTCAAGCAGCTGAAGGGCGCCAAATATGGAGCCACGCTCAACGACATTTGCTTGAAGCCCACCGGCTCTGCCTGTGTCGTCCAGTCTGTGGCCGCCTACTTTGAGAACGAGCCGGCGCTTGTCGGCCGTGACTCCTGGCAAGACCAGCTCCGACAGTGCGCCAAGTCTCCCGTCGAGTGCCGCCCCGACTTTGGTCAGCCAATCGAGCCGAACATGATTCTCGGAGGCTACGACGAGGACCCGGCCAAGGCCACCGCCATCACGATCAACTGGGTTGTCAGCAACGCAGCCGAGGGAAGCCCTGCCGTCGAGCGCGCCATGGACTGGGAGAACGCTCTCCGAGACCGTCTTCTCATCGCCCAAGAAGAGGCCAAGGAGCGCGGACTTCGCCTGTCCTTCTCTACGGAGGTCAGCTTGGAGCAGGAGCTCAACAAGTCCACCAACACCGACGCCAAGATCGTCATCATCAGCTACATCATCATGTTCCTCTACGCCTCTCTCGCTCTAGGATCCACCACTCTGTCTATCAAAGACATGATGAGAAACCCCGCCGTCGCGCTGGTGCAGTCCAAGTTCAGCCTCGGTGTCGTCGGCATTCTCATCGTTCTCATGTCCATCAGCGCATCAATCGGCCTCTTCTCCTGGGCTGGTCTCAAGGCCACCCTCATCATTGCCGAGGTCATTCCCTTCATCGTCCTCGCCGTGGGTGTCGACAACATCTTTTTGATTGTCCACGAGTTCGAGCGAGTCAACGTCAGCCACCCCGACGAGATGGTTGAGGAGAGAATCGCCAAAGCACTCGGTCGCATGGGCCCGTCCATTCTATTCTCTGCCTTGACCGAGACTGTTGCTTTCGCTCTCGGAACCTTCGTCGGCATGCCCGCTGTCCGCAACTTTGCCGCTTACGCCGCGGGTGCCGTCTTCATCAACGCCATCCTGCAGATCACCCTGTTCGTGTCCGTCCTGGCCATGAACCAGATCCGCGTCGAGGACCACCGCGCCGACTGCATCCCCTGCCTCCAGGTCAAGGCTGCCCGTGTCCACCTCAGCGGCAGCAACGGAAACGCCAATGCCAGATTCTACGAGGTGCCCGAAGAGAGCCTGCTCCAGCAGTTCATCCGCCGCACGTATGCTCCGGCCATCCTCACTCGACAGGCCAAGGCTGCCATCATTGCCGTCTTCCTTGGTATCTTTGCCGCCGGCATTGCTTTGATCCCTGAGGTCAAGCTCGGTCTCGACCAGCGTGTCGCCATCCCCGACGGGTCCTACCTCATCCCGTACTTCAACGACCTGTACGAGTACATGGAAACGGGCCCTCCTGTCTACTTTGTCACCCGAGAGTTCAACGCTACTGAGCGAAGCCACCAGCGGGAGATTTGCGCCAGATTCACCACATGCGACCAGTTCTCCCTGACCAACATCCTCGAGGGTGAGCGCAAGAGACCCGAGGTCTCCTTCATCTCTTCGCCCACGGCCAGCTGGATTGACGACTACTTCCTGTGGCTGAACCCCGACCTCGGCGACTCGTGCTGCGTCGAGAACGGCAAGGCCTGCTTCGCCGACCGCAACCCGCCGTGGAACATCACCCTGTCCGGCATGCCGCAAGACGGCGAGTTTGTCCACTACCTTGAAAAGTTCCTCACGTCTCCCACCAACGACGACTGCCCTCTGGGCGGCCAGGCCTCTTACGGTCAGGCTGTGGTGATTGACTCCGAGAGGGACACCATCCCTGCCAGTCACTTCCGAACGATGCACACGCCTCTGCGCAGCCAGGACGACTTCATCAACGCCATGTCGGCCGCCCGCAGAATCGCATCTGATATCACACGCTCCACCGGCGTCGACGTCTTCCCTTACAGTCTCTTTTACATCTTCTTTGACCAGTACGCCAGCATCGTCTCGCTGACTGGCGCCCTCCTCGGCTCTGCGGTGGGCATCATCTTTATCATCTCGGCAATCATGCTGGGCTCCCTGCTCACCGCCCTGGTCGTAACGGTCACGGTCTGCATGACGGTCGTGGACATTATCGGTGCCATGGCAGTCTTTGGCGTGTCGCTCAACGCCGTCTCTCTGGTCAACCTCATCATCTGCGTGGGCATTGGCGTGGAGTTCTGCGCCCACATCGCCAGGGCCTTCATGTTCCCGTCCCGCACCGTCATGGAGCGAGCCAAGAACCGCTTCCGCGGACGTGACGCGCGTGCCTGGACGGCCTTGGTGAACGTCGGCAGCTCCGTCTTCTCGGGCATCACGGTCACCAAGCTCCTTGGAGTCTGCGTGCTCGCCTTTACGAGATCCAAGATCTTTGAGATCTACTACTTCCGTGTCTGGCTCGCCCTGGTCGTCTTTGCAGGCACCCACGCCCTCATCTTCCTCCCAGTCGCCCTTAGCTTGTTCGGCGGCGAGGGATACGTCGACCCCGAGAGCGAGGGCGGCATCGAGGAGGACCTGGCCAGCCGCAGATACCGGGCGTTGGTGCCGGATGAGGACACCGACTCTGACGATGATTATTAGATACGAATTTGTTGTAATAGTAGTTTTGGGTGAATAAAAATTGTAGTCTGTTTGATTTAATCTAGTTTTTCTTCCTCTTGATACATACACGTCTGTCCCATCATCACTTACACGACAACATCCACAGTATTTGGAGATTCCACAGAATCGCGATGCGAGTCATAGCGGGGCGCAAGGGAGAGACGATGGCGCCAGCAAGGAGCGGCCGCAGATCAGGTTAGGCATGGAACACTCAGGCGTCGTCTCTCTGGATTTCTCCGATGAAGAGTTCTGGGTCGGGCTCCCTGGGCTACGATGCAGGTCAGTTGGTTGCGACAGTCCGACTGAGGCGGGCCAACGGTGAGGTGCCACATCGCGGCGGAGTGGTCTGTGGTGACATGGTGACAACGCATCGGCGATTGGGCGGCTTGGGCTCAGTGGACAGGCGGGCGGTGGAGTGGTTCATGTGTCTTTTGCTGTCACGCAGGATCTTGGATGCGAAACATGTTCATGGTGACATCAACTCGACGCCCAGCAAGGTTCTTTTTAAAGGTGAGGCGGAGGAGGACCCCTGATCGGTGCTTTTTGCGCGACGGAAGCCAGCAGACCCATGCCGGGAGACAGACGACGATGGAATGAGGCTGATTCCAACTAACAACTTTTTTTTACGAGTGATCTAAAATCTCTCAATTCGACAGCGCACAATGGGAACAAACATGTGCTTCCATCCGATGGTGGATGAGGGAATATCAGATGAAAGCGCGGGGGTTCTCGAGCTACCTGAGGACAATTTCCCGTCTAGATTGGACCGGTCGCTCGTGCCCCTTTGCGACTCGTAATCTGGTCGTTTTTCCTTTTCCGCAGGGGAGTTGACACGAGCCAAAGAGGCAGAGACAGGCGTTCGCGGGGCCGCACGTGAGTTGCTAATCATGTTATTAGTTCAGGGGTTCAGGAGGGCTCGTTGATAGCTCCGGGTGGCTTGCCGCCGGACAGCAGCTTCTTCACAGGTGACAGCGACCGCTCGAAGGGCATCCGAGTTCGGGGGCATGCATCATGGCGACAAGGCAGAAAGAGAGACGTTCGGTCTGGTATTCGGTGGCCAGTTACATCGGCGTTGGGCTCGTCAATGCCATACCTGTGTCGATCCCGCGAGCGTCTGGCAATGGCGAATTGAAACGGCCAGTCGCCGGTGCATAAAGGTGCTGGAACAGGCGCTTCCCAGGCCGAGATGAAGACGATGGGGACCTCGAGGTTTGGAACGTGGAGGTGGTGGTGGTGGTGTTGGGAGACGCTGGTGGATGCGAGGCGACCTCAAGGTACCTCCCGAGTACCGAGAGACGTTGCGGTACGTACCGCGAAAGCGAAAGCCAATTGGCGTCCAATGTCGCGTCAGCAAATGACAAGCCTGAGATGGACCCACTGCCCGAGCTCCTGAGCGCTGGAGCGAGTGCCGCTGTCAGCACCGTCCGCTGGCTGTTTGTTTGGCACCTTATCGCTGGGCTGTCAGGGGCTGCCGGGCCTGTATACTCGACCTGTCTACCTTACCACCTAAGGTCAATCACTCTGAGAAACCATTGATAATCAATCGGGACACAGGAACTTGAGCATGAAATCAGAGAAGAGATACAACCGTCTACAGTGCTCATGCACCTCGTAGAAACGGTCGACCGCCCCATCTCCTCTCCAGTGCTCCACCCCACCTCTGCTGCGCAGCGTGCAGACCCCTGCTTCGTTGCCGCTGGTGGCCGTCCCTACAGGCGGCTTCGCTTAATCTGGGCGCTGCTCTCGTCGGGTGCCAGTGCTGCAAGGGCCGCCTAATGCCAGTTCACCCGCACCTTTAGTGCAGTGCCCGCCGTGCCCGCCGTGTTTTACGCCTGTCCCCCATGTGCTGCCGCCCATCCCATGCACCACCCATCACCTTATCCAAAGGGGAGAACTGGGGGACCTTCCAATGTGGATGTGGACGTGTACAGGCCAGAGCGACTCCATCCACGCCGCCAGCATCGAAACAACTTTTTTATATCCTCGCCGTTGCCTTACCTAATAAGACACCTTACACCTCTTCCTCCCTCCATCCCGCACCTCCCATTCCAATTCCTTTCTGCTCAGCTTCGCCACTGACCCGAGCTTCGAAGCTTGTAGATAGAACGACCCTCTGCGCCGTTCCCCGTACCTTTCTTTGCTCCTTTTGTGTTGTTTTCCTTGTCTCGTTGTGTGTCGCCGTGCCTGAACCGCGAACCAACGCCCAGCTGCGAGGAAAAGAAAAGGAGAAGGCCTCATTGTCAGACGTCGCGAGGTGAGTTCCATTCCATTCCGTCCTTGTCGAGCCCAATTGCCCTCCTTGAGGGGTCAGTGCAGCTTGCCACGAGCTGCTCCCACCAAGACATGCCGTGTCTCCCACCCTCTCCACCTGTGTCTATCAATTCCTGCAGCTACCCGCGCCCGCGCTCTATTTCCTGAACTCCTGGCTGACCCGACTCGCGCCGACAGAATTGCCCAACGACACACACATCTCTTGCTGTGCCACGATAATCTCCAGCCATGTCCGACGCCGATAGCTTCGAGGTCGTCCAGCACGACGATGCGCCCAAGGCCGCGCCCCGCTCCCCGAGCACCAAGTCGACCGCCTCGGCCGCTTCCTCCCTGAAGAAGCCTGCCTCGAGCTCGGGAACGACGGCCACCGCTCGTCGTCCTGCTGCGTCTGCGTCGAGCACCGCGAAGCCCGCCGGCACTTCCTCGACCACCCGCGTGGCAGGCGGCCTGAGCAAGCCTCCCACCCGTCCTCCCGGTAGCAGCACGAGCACGACGAGCAGCGCCACCCGCAAGGTCCCCAGCAGCACGTCGTCCACCGCCACTCACCGCTCGCGGCCCAGCGTGTCTGCCTCTGAGGACGAGACCAAGAGGACGGTCCGCCGCACCTCGGCCGTCCCCAGCAGCGCCGGCTCGCCGAGCAAGGAGAAGAGGACGTCGACCACGACCACCGGCGCCGCCACTGCTGCCGCCAGAAAACCCGCCAGCTCCGTGAGCAGCTCGTCCGCCCCGAGGACCTCGACGGCTTCGCGACAGTCCATCAGCTCCGCCCCGCGCCCCTCTTCGACGACCTCCCGATCGGCCGCCACCGGCACCGGCGCCGTCGCCGAGGCCAAGAAGCGCCTCTCGACCGCTGCCGGCACGACCTCTGCCACGCGAACGTCGCGACCGTCGATCCGACCCGACTCGTCCGGCGCGTCCGAGGCTTTGACCAAGGAGATTGAGCAGCTCAAGGCGCAGCTCACCGACAAGGAGTCGCAGCTGGCCGAAAAGGAGACCCAGCTCACCGAGCTCAAGGCGCAGGTAGAGCAGTCGCAGTCGCGGATGGCCCAGATGGGCGAGGCCACGTCCCAGGAGGCCGCCCAGGTGCAGAGTGCCGTGAATGACATTCAAAAGGCCCACCAGGACCAGGTGGCGGAGTTGCAAGCTAAGCAGGCCGAGCTCGAGACCCAGGTTGATGACGCCAACGAACATCTTGTCGCCACGGATGCTGACTTGGAGAAACAGCAAAGCGAGTACAAGGAGGCGATTGCCGCCAAGGAAGCCGCCGAGACTGAGCTCGCCTCGCTGAAGCAGTCCCTCGAGACTCTCCAGGCCGAGCACGAGGAGAAGCTGAAGCAGAGCGAGTCCGACCTCAACAAGGCCATGGAGGAGCACGCCAGCAAGCTCGAGGAGCTGCAGAGCTCCCTGACCGACCAGCACAAGGCCGCCATCGAGGCCCTCGAAGCCAAGCACGCCGAGCAGCTCGACCAGGGCAAGTCTGACTTCGCCGGCCACGAGGAGGCCCTCGCCAACATGAAGTCGAGCCACGAGAGCGCCATCGCCGAGCTGCAGAAGAAGATTGACGACCTCACGTCTTCCCAGAACGACCTCGAGGTCGCACACGAGACCAAGGTCAGCGCCGAGCTCGAGGCCCACAAGACGAAGCTCGCCGCCGTCGAGGCCGAGGTTGCCGAGCTCAAGAGCAAGCTCGAGGCTGCCGAGCAGACCGCTGAGCAGGCCAAGGCCGACCTGGATGCCAAGATTGCCGAGCTGGCCGCCGCGCAGGCCCTCGTTGCCGAGGTCGAGTCCAAGCTTGCCGTCGCCCAGGCCGACCTCGCGACGGCCCAGGAGGAGGCTCTCGAGTTCAAGAAGCAGATTGACAGCATCAAGGAGGAGATTGCCGCCAAGGACGAGGCCCTCGAGCAGGCCAAGGCGGAGCACGCTGCCCACGTCCAGAAGCACGACGAGGCGCTCAAGCAGGTCTCTGCCGACTACGAGGAGGAGATTGAGTCGCTCAAGGGCGACGCCTTCTTCAAGCGCAAGTTCCTGGATCTCGAGACCAAGCACAACGAGCTCGAGGCTCAGCACACTGAGCTGACCACAAAGCACGGCGACCTCGAGTCGAAGCACACCGAGCTCACCACTCAACACGGCGACCTCACCAAGGCCCAGGCCGACAGCAGCGAGAGCCACACCCAGGCCCTCGAGGCGGCCAAGGCCGAGCTCGCCGCCGCCGTTGCCGCTCTGGAGGCGCGGGAGGCCGAGCACCAAAAGGCCCTGGACGCCCTCCGCGCCAGCCACGCCGAGGAGCTCGAGGGCGCCAAGAGCGGCGCTTCCGCTGACAAGGACGCGCAGCTCGCCGAGCTCCAGAGCCTCAAGGACAGCCACGCGAAGCAGCTCGAGATTCTCAAGAGCGACAGCGAGTCCAGCCTGGCCAAGGAGATTGAGGCGCTCAAGGCGTCGCACGCTGACATTGTCGAGGCGCTCAAGGCCGAGACCACCGGCGAGAAGGAGAAGCTGCTGGCCGAGATTGCCAGCGAGAAGGAGAAGGCCCTTGCCCTGACGGAGAGCGCTGGTGACAAGGAGAAGCTGATTGCTGCGCACAAGGAAGAGCTCGCGTCCACCACCGAGAAGCTGCGCGCCGCCCACGAGGCCGAGCTTGCCGAGGCCCGCGAGAAGATCATCGCCGCCCACCAGGCCGAACTCGCCGACGCCAGGGAGAAGCTGCTCGCCGCTCACCAGGCCGAGCTGGCCTCTGCCAAGCAGGCCGGCAGCGCGCAGTCCGAGGAGCTGTCTACGCTGAAGCTCCAGCTTGAGGAGGCTCTGACGAGAATCAGGGAGACCGAGACGTCGAGCGCCGCCGCCCTCGCCGAGGCCAAGCGAAATCTCGACGACACGCACTCCGCCGAGGTCGAGAAGCTGATCACGATGCACGCCGAGCAGCTCGACGCGCTGAAGCAGCAGTCCGCCTCTGGCGCGCAGATGGAGCTTGAGGAGCTGAAGCAGGCCCACGCCAAGGTTGTTGCTGAGCTGACGAACCAGTACGAGAACAAGAGCGAGGCTCTCGCCGAGGAGATTGCCAAGCAGAAGGCGCAGGCGTCCGAGCTCGAGGCTGCCCTCAAGGCGGCCAAGGAGTCCGTCGCCAAGGCCGAGGCTGAGAAGGCCCAGGTCGAGCAAGAGAACGGTGAGCTCGGTCAGATGTTTGCGCAAGAGAAGATGGCTCGCGCTGAGGCCGAGGCAGCCCTGGACGCGGTCAAGAACAAGTCGCCGACGCCCCCGGACACCACCGAGCGGGACCAGCTCCGCGAGCAGCTCGCCAACGTCAAGAAGGGTCTCGAGGACGAGCTCCACGTCGTCCAGACCAGCCTGGCCGCGGCCAAGCAGGAGGTCGCGGACGTCAAGGAGGACCTCATCCTCGCCGAGAAGGAGCTCGAAGCCTCCAAGCTCGAGGCCGACAAGCAGCTTAAGACGTACAAGGCGGACTACGAGGAGCTCAACGATACGATGACTAAGATTGTGGAGGAGGAGCAGGCTAAGCGCCGGAACCTGGAGGAGCAGATTGACGGCCTGAAGAAGACGCTGACGGACAAGGAGAAGGGCGTCGAGGAGCTGCAGGCGCAGCTCAAGGTGAAGGACGCCGAGATTGCGGAGGCCAAGGTGCGTTCATCACTCATGTCTACTCATTTCATTACTAACAATCACAGGCCAACGCGGCCGTGGCGAAGCCCAAGGGACTCGCGGCCAGCAGGTACGCCGACGGCGACGACGAGGCGAACGGCGCGAACCAGCCCGAAGGTGAGGAAGAAGACCATTCCTCCGAGGCACTTGCTGTGGTGGGATCGCCCCCTGCTTGATGCTCCCCGTCTACGCTGGTGAAGCAGTCGCTAACAGTCTGCAGTTGCAACGAGCTAGAGTCAACGCCAACCAGATCCACGCAATGGACCGCGACATGCAGGAGAAGAACCTGGCCATGCTCGAGTCCATCACGGACTTCCAGCAGTCGCCGCGGGCCGACAACTGAGCAATCGGTAGAGGCACGCGCATGTTCAGTGGCTAGCAGGCTCGCCGCCTGACTTGTACAGCAAGCCAGGGCCCTTGGCCCGTTTCTCCTTGTCCCGCCCGGCCGGGTTTTGAGGTTTTCGTTTTAATACAGCGCGGGGGTTATGCATTCCGGCACGGGGCCGGTCTGGCATCGAAGAGGGTGCTTGTTTTGCGTACTGGTACCAAATTGATTCTTTGCAGGAGATGGATAGAGAGACAGAGCTGTTGAGTGCTGTATGCGTTGCGTCGGACGCGATGTAATTATGGAGGAACGCGTGTGATGGGACGAGGTAGCAATGGACGATACCCCCTTTTCCTCTCGCTGCAGATGCGGGTCGAGGCCGGTCCAGATGAACTGATTTTGAGAGTGAATTGATTCGATGCGTGTTCGACAACGCAAGTCCAGAAGCCACGAGGTGGCAGTGCCAAACCAGGCGTGGTAAAGCGGGTGCGGCCACGATGTGCGCCACGGCCAGGCTTCGTAAGCGGCCGGTCCGGGGTGTGCGACCCTTGCACCCGCTAGCAGTTGACGAGTATCCATCCGTATGTGCGTGTTCCTGAGCCAAGACCCCTCCCGCATCCCGTGAAACGAAACGATTCTTGATCGAAGGGCGGGGAAATCGTCTCCTCATCTTGCTGCAATTGCTGCAGAAGCACGAGTCGTTCGGTGACACGGAGCCAATGAGCCATTGACGTCCAATGGAGGCGGATGGGTGGGGGATGGCGAAAGGCGGTCCCGCTGCCTTGTTGGAGAAGAGAACTGAAATGAGCGGGAGTGGAGGATGACTACGCCGGAGAGGGTGACTTCGTCTGCTGGCGCGATGAAACCCATTTAACTGGACTTGCCATCCGCTGCGTTCCGCGGGAGTCCAATTGATCTGATCCTTGTTGCACTTGTTTATCGATAAAAAAACCAACTCTTTGACCTCTTGGAGACGCATCTACCGAGGGGATTGTGGTACGATTTTTCTCGTCTTCTACCTTGTCTGCTTCGGAGGACGAGAGCTTATTTGGCTTAAGCTTGCCCCGCGGGAGATTTGAGCTGAGCTCCTCCGATTTGTCTAGAGGTACGCTCCGTAGCAGTTGATTAGCTTGCATCCCAATCGCGACCCTTTTTAAAAAGAAGGGAAAACCCAGGGAGCTGACCTTTTTTCTGTTCGAGGAGATTGCAGCTGAGATCCCCGTTTACGCATTCGTACAAGACCCAGGTTCTGGACTGGTCTAGCTGGACGAGCTGCTCTTTTGTCCCGCCTTTGTTGAGCCTCCACGAGCCGTACTCTTGGGTTCAGCGGACTGCAGCCTTATTTACGGTATATTCCTTCTTCTTTCTTTGCTGCCACGAGGCATCGCCCGCAACCCCTCGTCGATTTCAGCCCCGATCCAGATCACAGGGTTGGAGGAATTTGCATTGTCTTAAAGCTCCGCGGATCGCACGCAGTGCTGAAGAAAAGATGTCCAGACTTGGAAACCGCATACCCGCCGCACGCAGGGAACAACTACTCGCCGCCGCAAAGATGCCCGCGCCGCCTCTGCCGATCCTCTTCGCCGAAGAGACGCCGTTTTCGGAGTACTCGGCCGCCGTCTGGGGGCGCGTGTTCAACGCCATGCGGGACTTTCACCGGCGGCCCGTCGCCGTCGTCCAGGCCACGCACCGGGCGCACGTCGTCGAGGCGGTCAAGCTGGCCAAGGAGAAGGGGTGGCGGGTGAGTGTGCGCAGCGGAGGCCACAGCTGGGCCGCGTGGAGCGTGAGAGACGAGGCGCTGCTCATTGACCTGGGCGGGTTTGGCAAGGACGAGGGCGGCGAGGACGGGCTTGTGTATGATAAGAGCACCGGCGTCGTGAGCTGTGCGCCGGCGCGGACCGGGAGAGAGGTGAACGGGTTCCTGGCCGGACAGCTTGGCGGGCCTGGTGATGACAGCGAGGAGGGCGTCGGCAGATTCTTTCCCGGAGGACACTGCCCCGACGTTGGGCTCGGCGGCTTCTTGCTGCAGGGCGGTATGGGGTGGAACTGCAAGGTAAGCCGTTTGTTCCCATCTGAGACTTCAAGCTGACGGGCTGCAGAACTGGGGATGGGCTTGCGAGAACATTGTCGCCATTGACGTCGTCACGGCCGACGGCAACGAGCTCCGGTGCTCGGAAACGGAGAACCCAGACCTCTTTTGGGCAGCGCGCGGTTCGGGCCCCGGCTTCCCGGCCGTCGTCGTCCGCTTCCACCTCCGCACGCGGCCTCTGTCGGGCATGTACCAGTCGCTGTACTTTTACTCGCTCGACCGCTTCGAGGAGATCCTCAACTGGGTCATCAAGGTATGCCACCCTGCTGCATGTCGAGAGACCGAATGCTGACCGTCCCAGATCTGCCCTACCGCGCCGCCGTCGACGGAGATTGTCCTGCTGACGCTCACACCGCCTGGGGCAGACTCCCCGCAGGTGATGGCCAACTTCCTGTCCTTCAAGCCGGACCCCGAGGACCTCATCCCGCTGCACTCGTCCCACCCCTCGCGCCCGCTGCAGACCGTCTTCGCGAACCCGACGTCTCTCCCGCAGCAGTACGTCGACCAGGACGCCAGCAACCCGCCCGCGCACCGGTACATTTCGGAGAACTCGTACGTGTCCAACGACGCGGACGTACCCAAGGTGCTCAAGAAGGCGTTCACGACGCTGCCGACGCCGCAGTCCTTTGCGCTGTACTTCTCCATGAACCCCTGCTCCCGCCGCGTGCAGCTGGGTTCGGCGGTGGCCAACGGGGACGTGGATGAAAAGGCCAAGACGATGCCCGACATGGCGCTGAGCATGCAGAGCGACCACTACTTTGCGCTGTACACCATCTACCCCGACGCCGAGGACGACGAGAGGTGCCACGACTGGGTCCAGGACGTGATGAAGGACGTCGAAAAGAAGTCCGCGGGCAGCTACCTTGGCGATGCCGACTTCCGCCACCGCCGGACCAAGTTCTGGGGCGACGAGCAGGGCAAGAAGCTGATGCAGATCCGCAAGGAGTGGGATCCCCAGGGACGGATCTGCGGGTATCTAGATGCCGACGACAAGAGCGGCGCTGAGGGGTTGAAGAACGAGTTTGAGTGGGCTTGAGTTGAGCATTCCGAGTTGCTTTTATCCTGTTGCCGAAAGATATCCTGTAGAACGGTGGGCTGCATATTATACCAGGGGCCTATTTGAAATTGGTTGTATAGATGGCGTAGATTCAGCATCAATGGAGCCTGTTGAAATTGCTTGTATAGATATATATATATGTGTGTAGATTGATTTGATACTTCTATGGTCATCATCTCATCACTCATCGTCTTTTATGAACTTTTTTTCGTTCACCTCCGGCTTGACGATATCCCTAGGCGTAAACATTGTGTAAAAGTTGACTTGCTTAACAAACCACGCGTTGATGAGCTGCCACTCCTGGTTGGGGTCTTTGAACTTGATCTGCGGACTGTTAGTGAAGGTCTGCAGAAGATGACAGTTTACTTACGTCGAATCTCCTCAACAGACTCGGCACCACCTTGTAGATTTCCAACAAGCTAATGTTCTTTCCGATGCACGTGCGGCTGCCCATGCCAAATTGGAACATGTGACCGTTCATCTCCTTGATGCGCTGCTCTTCCGCCTCGCGGTCCTTTGTCTCGTCCACCAACCACCGCTCGGGGCGGTAGGTGTCAACGTCTGCGCCCCAGATCTCGGGCCGGCGGTGGATGATCCACGCGCTGCAGCCCACAATCGTTCCGCCCTTGACAAAGGTTCCCGCAATCTCGGCGCCCTGCTCGGGGACGATACGCTCCAGAGGGAGACCGGCGGCCGGGTGCATGCGGAAGGCCTCCTTGATGCAGGCGTCGAGGTAGACCAGCTTCTGACTCTCGGTCCAGGTGACCAGCCCCGTCTCGGTGTCGCTGAAGCCGCCCTCGCGGCCAAACTGGTCCAGCTCCTCCTTCAACCGCGCCAGCGCAGTCGGGGTGCGTAGCAGGTAGTAGAAGACGGCCGCCAGGCTGATGGCGGTGGTCTCAGATCCGGCAAACGCCATGCTGACGGCCATCGTCTGCACGAGGACGTCTGACATGAAATCGGGGCGGGCCTCGCGGGCGGCCAGGAACTTGGACAAGAGGTCGGGCTGCTCGGCCAGCTTCTTGCCGTTCGTGACGGGCAGCAGGGGCTCCTTGCCGTTGAGCTCGGGGAGACGCTCGGCCATACGGGCACGGGCGAAGCGGGCAACCGGGAACGTCGAGTCAATGAAGCCCCATTGGGACAGCTTCAGGTAGATGGGGTTCTTGAGAAAGAGGCGGTCGAGGAGGGGGATTTGGCCAATCTGCTCACGTCAGTAAGATTCCGCGACGTGCCAAGGCTAGACTCACCGGCGCCACGTAGAGGAACAGCTTGCTCAGGTACGCCACGATACCGTCAATGTCCTCGTTCTTCTCAATGAACCCATGGCGTTTGCTGTAGGTGATCTCTCCAATAACGTCGAACGCGTAGAACTGAAGCCACGTCGTAAAGTCACACCCTTCGGGGTTTCCAGCAAACAGCTTCTCCGTCTGTGACAGAAACAGCTTGGTCGTGTTGTCGACAAACGGCTCATACTGAACCAGGGCCGACATGGAAAAGGCCGAGTTGACACATCGGCGGAACTGCGAGTGGAAGCTGTTGTCTGTTGTGCTAAACAGCGACTGCAGGCTGTGGCCCTTGACCACGGACTGCTGCACAATGTAGAAATCGGACTGACATTGTTAGCTGCGTAGCATGACGGTATCGAGAGAGCCTACCTTGACGAATCCCTTGTTCAGCCCGTAGATGGTCTTCAGGGCAGCGGGGTCGGCGAACGACAGCGTATTGGGACCCAGCCGAACAACGTCGCCATATTTTTCGTGTAGTTTTTGATGTGTTACCTCTGGGCGTTGTCCCTTGACGTCGAAGAAGCGCCACCAATCCGTCAACGACGCCAGGAAAGGCCCGGGATACTTGTTGAGTCCGTTGTTGTAATGA